AAATTAACAGAAGGACTAACGGAGTGCATTTTGTATAGTTGAGGGATCATAAAAGTGCAAAAAATTGTTAAGGGACCAAAAATGTTCATTTCATAAAGTTAAGGGACCAAATTAAGCATTTGACCTAACAAGAACTCAACAACAGGGCAACTGCAGAATGGAAACCATTGGCATGGCCGAAATCCAAGGTTCTACGTGATTTTCACCTGCAATCTCAAGAAGAGAGATGTCGCAGGCCTTGACCCTTCCCCTACATCTGGGTTTTCCGGCCTTAAAAGCCAAGCCAACTTGGCTCAATCTCCGCCGTCCCGCCTCATGCTCCTCAATTTCTCCTCCGCGTAATCTAGATTTCTCTTGCGTGAGGAGATGCAGTGTGCAGCCAATTCTTGACCTCAAAGCTGGAAAAGGGTATTTTTTATTTTACATTGCTAGATCGTTTTTCTTTCTATGTTTCCTAGAAAATGGCGTCCCATTTTGCTGCTTTCATTTCTGGCATTAAAGCAGCAATCTTTAAAGTGCTTAGTACTCCAGATTCCGACTAAATTCAATGAAATGAAATTCGCGTAAAAATTTTTGGATTGTTGGTCTTTTATTCATTAAAACATTTGTGCCTGATATTAACAGCCATAGTTGAACTTCCTTTATTTGTGTTGATTATGCAGCATGAGTGGATTTCATGAGATTGAGCTTAAAGTCCGAGATTACGAGCTGGATCAGTATGGTGTTGTTAACAATGCTGTTTATGCAAGTTATTGCCAACATGGTTAGTGCCTTATCATGTTACTAACTTGACGTTAATAACTATTGAGCTTCAGTAAGGTTTTGCTTGCAGTACTGATCTTTACTTTTCTAGTCTTTGTTTTTTCTTTTTTCAAACTTGATGCTAATAACTATTGAGCTTCAGTAAGGTTTTGCTTGCAGTACTGATCTTCACCTTTCTAGTCTTTGTTTTTTTCTTTTTCTTTTTCTTTTTTTGAGTTTTTTCATTTAATCATATACTCATTCTGAAATTGAGGCACCCAAAATTAGTTTCTGATGTGAATCTCATTTTTAATATGAATTTGGGTATGTCCACTGTGTGTTAATTGTTTTTATGCACAATTCTAGTGGATGTCCTTGATCTCTAGGTTACCCTAGTAAGTTGAGAGGCTTGAATTTCATCCTTTTGATATAAATTAAACCAATGTGTTATTGACACTAAAATGGAAGTTCTTCTAGCGGAAAAAGAAGTAAATCTGAAAACTTAAGTTGTTGATTTACTAAATTCTATGACCAAAGTCATTCAGGAGTCAGCATACGTAAGCTATTGTTTTATTTAAGGCAATGACTTCAAATGAGCTAGTGTTTTTCTCAGTGAAGTTTACTTGTTAATCTCCTAAATTATGTGATATTGACTGAATGCTTGTATTGTGTATCCTAATCAGGTCGTCATGAACTACTGGAATGTATTGGTATCAACTGTGATGTAGTTGCACGCAGTGGTGATGCATTAGCTTTGTCAGAGCTGTCACTGAAATTCCTTAAACCTTTAAGAGTATAATTCTGATCTTTATATTTCCAACTGCTGAATTTCTTGCCCATTCATATGTTGCTTTATTCACTTAACCCTCCAAGGCATGAATACATTCTGCCATCACTCAAACTTCTTTGTTACCTTCAGATTCAGTTCGAAAGGGCTTCATCTGAGGGGTTAGAAAGAAATTCTTGATGATACAATTCTAAGTTTATGGAAGAAATTGTTACATGCCAACACATACATTTTACATGAATCATTGCTTGAACTAGTGAAGATTGATGAAAAGGGATTAGCTCATATCCCTCCAACGTGTATGCTGCAATTTTTGATAGCCTTTTATCCCTGTTGGTAAATACCTTTAGCAATCTTACTTATCCGTTCCAGTGGTGCTTCTCTGCATGCAGAGTGGAGACAAGTTTGTTGTGAAAGTGAGGATCTCAGGTTCCTCTGCTGCTCGCTTTTACTTTGACCATTTCATTTTTAAGCTACCAAATGAAGAGGTTTGTTACTGTCATCTCTGCAGCCCTGCACCCTTAGCTGCACTCTCTAATGCTTTATTTTATGCAGCCTATTCTGGAAGCAAAGGCAACAGCTGTCTGGCTTGACAAAAATTACCGCCCTGTTCGTATACCGCCCGAGTTCAGATCAAAACTTGGGCAGTTCCTTAGCCAGGATGAGTCTAATTGATTTACTCAACACATCAATCCATATTCTTAGATGGGAATTCCCATTCCGTCTATACAATTCCCTCTACACAATTACAAGTGTTCTTCATTCTGAAATTTTATATCACAATTAAGATTTTGGTTACCCTTTTTTCCTCTGGAGTTGCTGAGGAATGATTGATGTTATTCAGTTTTCTAAGAGTTTAATTTAATAAATAATTTATTAACTTTCATATTCTTTTCAGTTTCATATATTATCTTTGAATTTTTTCAATCCTATCTATTATCTTTCATGTTTATTTCAATTTCATCTTATCTGTTTAAAATAATGGAAATCTTCTTATCATGTCAGAAAACATTTAGTACTTTAACTATATTTCTTTTGATTTTTTGGTTTTTAAATTTATATTTATCCTAAAAATAGTTTTTATTTTTATTTTGCTAAATGTGTTTTTTAAAAAATTGTTTTATAGGGTAGACAACATATAATTTGTCTTGTAAAATTATTTAAATATTTTTAATTTTATTTTTATATTATTTTTTTGAAACGTTTAAATAATTTTACAGAGTAAATTATATATAGTTTGTCATATAAAACAAATTTACTCTTAAAATTTCTTGTTTTAAACTTATTAAGTTTCTCAGTTTGAATTAAATTAGTTGCTTAAATTTATTATAAATTTTAACTACTTTATCTCTATTAAATATTTTTTAAGTCTTTACATTTTATTGAGATTATAGTATTATTTTTTTAAAACTTAAAAGGAGTATTCTTTTGTATTAGACTTGACAAAAACTTTGTATAATAAATTAATTTAAAATACTCTTCAAAGTCTATAAATCATTTAAAAATAAAGAAATTTTTTAGATTAAAATAAAATTAAATTGATAATTAATAGATTAATTATATAATTATGCCGTTTTCTAAGTAAATCTGAACTGAGATTAAAACAGCAAGAAGAAGCATGAGTTGAAATGATC